TCTCATGTTCTTGACCAGCACATGAAGCAACTTATGTACAAAAGCTCACAATGCCCAGCCATGTCATGTTTTTCCCTTGGGTCCTAGACTCAGAACACTGAGCATGAGATTCCTGTAATAAATGTCAATAAATCAAAAGTAGGTTTGTAGCTTAAAGATACACACCTAAACAGCATACTCAGGATTGCTACAGCACAGACATTTTGATGCAATAATTCAGAGCAAGAGGTGTCAGTTATCAGAGACTGTTAAATAGACAAAATACTGCAAGAGTGCTAGTGTTTTAAGCATGTTTTATTTAAATTTAAAAATCTTTCATTGTGTTTGTATTTGTCCTTTATAAAGTTTATATCTCTGCTACCTGACATTACATTTTATGACACACATGACCTGGCCAAACAAGGTCTCATTTCAGATCCGGCCCTCATAAGAAATACATTTGATACCCCTGTCTTAGAGTACCTACTGCTTATACAAGCGACAGACTAAAGTCTGAGTCCAGTGGCGCCTTTAAGACCAACAAAGTTTTATTCAAGGTGTGAGGTTTCGTGTGCAAGCACACTTTGTCAGACACACTTGCTGTTCGAAGTTCCAGGTGGGAAGTCCCCTGTCTCACGCCTCCAGACTTCATGGCAAGAGAGACTAGATAGCTAGATAGGCACGTGAACCTTTCTTCCTGTGTTTACTCTTCTGCCACTGTCCCCTTCGAAATGTAGATTGTGTTCCCAGGGACTATTTCCCTTCCTTCCATTCTCTCACTCACTTGAAGATGAACTCTCTCCCTTCATGCACCAAGAAAGATGACATGCTGTCCTCTCTCGGAACCTCTTGTCATCTGTTTCCATTCTTTAGCTAGTAACTCAGTACTCTACCCTGTCTCTGCTCTTTCCTATATCGAGCGTGCTTCTCAAATAGAGAGGTATTTCTCTGTTAAACTTGCAACGTGACTCTGTGTAGCTTTGTAAGCTGGGTGTCCTGGTGAAGTGACGCTTCTGCATTTGTAGCTTTATTTAAGCACTCTGCTAACTAGTGGTAACTGGACTAACCACACTAGTTAACCCCAATAGGTCATGGACCCAGCCTTAATCAGGTAAATCAGCTAAACTAGGACTGGTACCACTGGAAATGTCTATGGATCCAAAGTATTGAATCTGCCTCCCTCCGCAGCTATAGACAAGACACTGGCTGACAGACTTGGTTCTTTGCAAGACAATAGGACTGGAATGCTGCTCCTGGCAGCCTGCTTGTAAACACAGAGCTTTAGAGAGAGAGAGGGGAGACCGAGAAGGAAAGAATCTTGGCTGAGACTTGGGACAAAAGATGTCCTCTAGTTTCTCTCATGTGCATCTGAGGTTTACCTTATGGTCCCACTTACTGGAAGATCACTATGAGGTAGGTGGGGCTGAGAGAGCTCTTGAGAGAACTGCTCTTGAGAGAACAGCTCTGAGAGAATTTATGACTAACCCAAGATCACACCAGCAGCCGCATGTGAGGGAGTGGGGAATGAAACCTGGTTCTCCCAGATTAGAGTCCACACTCTTAGCCGCTACACCAAACTAGCTCTATAGTAGGTCTATAGCCTTAAGGATAGAATCTCACGGTCCACTTTCTCTCTTTTAGAAAAGGTCTCCCTTCTAGTCTTAACAACAACAAGAAGAAACCTTTATTAGCATTATACACTAAGGAGAATACAAGACATAAGAAGTACTCAAAACAGTTAACACAAATCTCGCTTTTTAGAAGCCAGATACAAAAAAGTTGCCACTATTTCAACAGCTACAACATTTTATTGAGGAAAGAAGAAAAAAGGACTAATAATTATCAGATTGGCCTATTAAATCCTTTGACAACCTATCTAAACACTTAGCACGAATGTCAGCATAATAATCACAGTACAGAAGGACGTGCTCAGTACTTTCTACTTCCTTTCTTCCACAATCACATAGCCTCTGGTGTGGAAAGAGTCATTTTTGTCATTTTTCATCCACATTTTTTGGCACATTGCCTAACCCGCATAGCCAGAAGGCTTTACAGGACAATGAGCCCCATATCACACCGACTTAGTGGTGCCTCCATAGCTTTGGCCATTTTCACCTGAGCCTCGCCGCTACCAGCCTTTTGACCTTGGAGGGAACGGACAGCTTGGCTGCCTCCTTTTTTCTCCAAAGGCTCTTTCGTCAAGCCCTACAGCTCCGGCTGTGCAAGACGTATCGCCAACCTCTCTCAGTTCCTTTCTGATCTCTACGCACCCAAGACGGGATCTGCCAGTCTGCAGACCCAGTCTATGCCTATTGCCCACCAATGCCACCTCTTGGAGCAATCTTGCAGTTATCCACCAGTCCCTTCCTCTGATTGCTTCCCGGTTTGAAGTCACTTCCCGGTTTGAAGCCAGTTTGGTGTAATGGTTAAGTGCGCGGACTCTAATCTGGGAGAACCAGGCTTGATTCCCCACTCCTCCACTTGCACCTGGCTGGATGACCTTGGGAAAGCCGTAGTTCTGATAAGAGCTGTTCTTGGAAAAGAGCAGTTTCTGTCAAGAGCTCTCTCAGCCCCACCTCCCTCACAAGGTGTCTGTTGTGGGGAGGGGAAGGGAAAGGGGTTTGTAAGCTTCTCTGAGACTCCTTTGAGTAGTGAAGGGAAGGGTATAAATCCAATCTCTTCTTCTTCTTCTTCTTCTTCTTCTTCTTCTTCTTCTTCTTCTTCTTCTTCTACAATCCTATGGCAACCCTGTAGTGTTTTCAAGGCAAGAGACCATTGGAGGTGGTTTGCCATTGCCTGCCTCTGTGTCATGACCCTGTTCATCCTTGATGGTTCCCCATCTAAATGCTAGCCAGGGCAGACCCTGCTTAGCTTCTGAGATCTGACAAGATCGGGCTAGCCTGGGCTATCCAGGTGAGGGCTTTTTAAACCTCTGCTAATGGGGCAAGACTTTTTTCTCCAGTATGTTGGCAACACTATAAAAAAAGACAGTTAATTATTTCTGGTGGAAAATTCAAACTGGGGATGCGTAAATCATGCAAGAAACATTTTGACATCAAAACTGATTTTTAATTTTTAGACAATGGAGAAAGAAGTACAAAGAGCTGGTGACTTATCTTCAGACAAACTCAATTGGATACAAATGGTTATTTCTGGAAGGAGTGGCTTTTAAGATGAAAGACAAAAAAGAAAGAATTGACTCTGTTTTTAAAACCAAAGAATTCCTAAAGATTCAGCTGGGAAAGGGAGAGGAAGAAGGAAAAGACGATGACAACAGTTCGAGTGGCGAATTGGAAACGGAATCTTCTGGAGAAGACTCTCTGGCGAAGCAAGGGGCTGCTGCTCCAAAAAGTCCCTATAAACTGAGGAAGAGACGAGGAAAACAGAAATAGAGGCTGAAGGACTCTGAAATGTGCCTTGAAGTAAATGATGTAAAAATGTGATGATGGGGGGTATGGTTTCTGAGCAGTTAAATTTGTTAAAGAAAAGTGAAAAGGTGTGAAAAACTTGACTCAATTCATATTGACTTAAATGAGTTATGACTTATTGTAACTAAGCTTTTTTGAGGATCCCCTCTCTTGGGTTTTTAGGTATTAGTTGGTTTCTTTCCTTTCTCCCAATATATGTAGTACCCCATCCCTATTATTTTCTGTAGTATTGTAGATTTATAAAAATAATAAAAAATCCCCTCCAGGGGCTTTTAAAAAAATTAAAAACAAATATTACTATTACCTTACATAATATTTTAATCCAAAGGAGGGAGGGGGAGGTTAACAGCCATTTATAACAAGCAAAGGAATATGTTTTATTTCTAATTTTCGTATAAGTACATAACAAAAATTGCCCAGCATTCACAAACGTTCTCTTTTTTATCATAAATTGTTTGTTTGCAATGCATCCCTTTGTAATATGTTAATTTAGTCAATAAGCCTAAACCAATCTTTTATTTAAACCAGTCTTTCCAGTATGCCACAATAACCATATTTGCAGCTGTAAACAGAGTGGTGGAGTTGTCTGAAGAAACTACCAGTACTTTTAAATATCCTAATAGGATTTTCTTAGGATCTGGTGGTATAGTACCACACATAAACTAAACCATATCTTGCCAAAATAGGTCAGGTTTGGACATATCCATGCTACATGTTTCAAATTTGCATTTCCCAATCGAATTTTCAACATATATCCATTGTATTTCTATATGTAATAACTAGTTCATAAAGGATAAGATACCACTGCAAAAGTACTTTCCAAAAAAAATTTCTTTCAGACGCAGATAATTTCAGGTGCACGTTTTCCCAAATCCAATTCCGTTTCTCTAAACTTAAACCAGGTCATTAATTTTCCCCTCATTTGACCAAGTAGCTTAATGGAATAGTATCTAAACTTAATAACAATTAGTGAGCTTGAGCAATCAAGCCACCAGAGATATAATTATCTAGATATAAGTGCAGTAGCACCATAGAGACCCAAAAATATTTATTTATTTATTTATTTATTTAGATTTTTTCCCCCGTCACTGCTCACCCAAAGGATCTTGCAGCAACTTACAACATTAAAACCAATCAGGGAAAAACAACACAAAAACAAATCACAAATGTAAAATATTAACATTAAAACATTAAACTCTTAAAATACGTGGCTATCACTGTACCACTAAGAAAAACAGCCCAAACATATGGTTACCTTCCAAAGGCCAACCTTGACAATTCAGCCTTCCATTCCCTGAAAGAGATTTTCAAGGTATGAGCTTTCAATACTCAAAGCTCCCTTAATCAGATCCGTATCAGATACAGTCAAATAATCTCAAAAATTTATACCCTGAAACTCTTGTTGATCTCTAAGAGGCTACTGGACCTGACTCTGACCCTTCTACTGCAGACCAACATGGCTACCCTCTGATACTAGAGATATGATTGTCACTAATCAATAAAACCATTATCCTTTCTCTACACGGCAACATTAGGGACCAGGAGCACCCCGAAGATCAACAACATTTCCCAGTTGCTAGCAAGATCCCCATTCTACTTTCTGGAAAGCGCCCTCGACAGAGCTCCTTTTACATCTCTGTTCCTCAGGCTGTAGATTAGGGGGTTAAGCATCGGGATGACCACCCCGTAGAACACCGACGTCACCTTCTCTCCATTTGTGAAAGTCTTCTTCTGAGGCCGCAAGTACAAGGCCATGGTTGTGCCGTAGAAGATTCCCACCACGACCAAGTGGGACCCGCAGGTTGACAAGGCCTTACTCCATCCATGGTCAGACCGAATGCGCAGCACAGCCAGGCCAATGCGTCCGTATGTCACCAGGATGAAAGCAAAGGGCATGAGCAAGGTGAAGATGCTATTCATGATCATAACCAATCCACTGGCACGGGTATCTGAGCACACCAGTTTCAACATTGCCTGGACTTCGCACTTGAAATGGTTCACCACATTGCTCCCACACAAACGACCCCGCATGCCAAAGGCTGGGACAATGGACAAGAAGAAGGAGGAGACCCACAAGCCAGTTGCCAGCAGGATGCACACCTTCCGGTTCATGATTACACTGTACCGCAGGGGGCTGCAAATTGCTACGTATCGATCGTATGCCATAATGGCGAGCAGAAGACATTCTGCTACTGCCAGGAAGAGAGCGATGCCCATCTGGGCTAAACATCGGCCTAGAGAGACGGTGGGTCTGTCTGTAAAGCAGTGCGCCAGCATCTGAGGGACGGAAGTGGTGACGTAGCAGACGTCAATGAAGGAAAGGTTGCTAAGGAAGAAATACATGGGTGTGTGGAGGTGAGAATCGGTCAGAATCAGCGTAACGATGAGGCCATTCCCACCCACAGTGACCAAGTACATAGCCAGGAAGATAAAGAACAGTGCAGTCCGTACTTGGGGATGGCTGGATAAACCCAGAAGCACAACTTCAGTTATTTCAGTTCCATTTTCCGTATCTTCCATGTTGCCTGAAAAAGTAGAGAAAGCCCGTGTCATGGTTATAATTTACATGAAAGTCTCTCGGTTCACAACCTATGGCACTGATAGTGCTGTGATGTGGACAGATGTAAAAACAGGTTTGTTTGTTCTTTGCAGTGAACCGCTGCTGATGTAGGCCCAGTCTGCATGTAGCATTCACTCCGTTGTTTTACCAAATTCACACTTGAACAGAAAAAGATGCGGCTCAAAACCACGTCCAAATACCCGGGGCCAATGCCATACTGACTGCAGAGTCACCCCTGAATGGACATAAAACGACCATAGATCTATGCAGACGGTACCATAAAACTGAGAGATCGAAGGAAGTGAAACCGACATGCAGTGTGGAGGATATAATAAAATCTGGCAATCAAGGAAAGTGAAAGCGGCATGCAATGCAGAGGGGAATTCCTGTTCCAACGTGGGTTTTGTAAAACAGCGGAGCGAATGCTAGATGCAGAACGGGCCTTAATTGGAATGACCTGAGTAGTGTGGGTGCATCCGCCTGCACTGAAGCACAGTTTGTAAAATCCAAATAATCACTGACAGACAGGGCTCTAGTCGGGGGGGAGCTCTCAGGTACGGAGCTCCGGAAGAGAACCTCTAGGGGGCGGGGCGGTCACGTGGTGAAGCCCCGCCCCCTTCTTTACCCCGCCCTCTGCTTCGATCCTCATTCCGTTTGGGAATGAGGATGAAGCAGGAGGGTAAGTAGCCGGGCCTTCTGACACACTTCCGGTGATGTCAGGGGGTGTGGCCTTCTGTCACTTCCGGTGATGTCAGGGGGCGTGGCATATGCAAATAAGTTATGCTAATGAGTTATGCTAATGAGCTCCGGCAGCTCTTTTTCTACAACAAGACCCCTGCTGACAGATGTTTACCTGTGTCCTTAACAAACTTGGTGGAACACATTTCCCTTGAAGAATCTTAATATTTCCCCCATTCATTCTGCCCTCAATCCTTTCCCTCCTTGTCCTCCCTTTGATTATCTCAGAGATGGGCTGATCTCTGTCCTCTCTACACTAGGACACATTTAAACACTAACGCTTGCCAAAAGCTAACAATCACCTGGGCACGAGTGCACACCTTCATTCATTCCAGTGTTCTTTCAAAGGGACCACACAGGGCTCCCACTAAGTATCTGTTCCTATTTGACTTGCTCCCCCTTCTCTGGCCACAGTCAGCGTATTATAGTTTCTGTGGGTCTTATCAGTTGTATGACCTGGTTGCTTCTGATTTCCTTTTTCTTTCACTTGTAATACATCTCTCAGTAATCATTGCTTCTAAGTGATGGCGAACCTAAACAGCATGATAAAAAGTAGAGACATCACCCTGCCAACAAAAGTCCGCATGGTCAAAGCAATGGTATTCCAAGTAGTCATGTATGGCTGCGAGAGTTGGACTATAAGGAAGGCCGAGTGCCGAAGAATAGATGCTTTCCAATTATGGTGCTGGAGAAGACTCTTGAGAGTCCCTTGGACTGCAAGAAGATCAAATCAGTCAATCCTAAAAGAAATCCACCCTGACTGTTCCCTGGAAGGCCAGATAATGAAACTGAAGCTCAAATACTTTGGCCACCAAATGAGAAGGGAGCACTCACTGGAGAAGACCCTGATGCTGGGAAAGATTGAAGGTCAAAGAAGACGGGGACGGCAAAAGATGAGATGGTTAGACAGTGTCACAGATGCAATGAACATGAAACTGAGCCAACTTCAGAGGACGGAGGAAGACAGGAAGGCCTGGCAAGATCTGGTCCATGGGGTCGCGAAGAGTCGGACTCGACTGTGCGACTGAACAACAACAACAAGGGAAAACAGAATTCCTTGTATTTTAAGTTAAAATTTCATGCTTCTAAAAAACTATGTTTATTTATGGGTTCTTTAAAAACAGAAATGTATGCAACAGATCTATAAATAGATATATAGTTCCATTTTTTAAGACGATTCACAAGGTTTGATTATTTCTGGGAAAGTCACACAATTAAGTTCTGAACCAGTCAAACTCATATATTGCATCTGAAGAGCCAAAGAGGTTGTTTGTTGTTTATAGATGATACATAGAGTGCAGTGGGCATAAGTTCACCCCATTCCTTTGTGTAATTCAGAAGGGAATGCCTCATATGATGACAACAGCCATCAACAGTTTTGATACTCAAAATAATGAATACTTTTTAAAAGTGTTTTTTAAAAGGTCTGTCTGATCACTCACCAATCAAGTACACTTCTGATTAGCAAAACTGTGCAGAAGCTGAAGGATTAAATTTCCCCTTCCCACGTGGTACTGATCCACATCACTTCTCTGTACACTTAGGACACACTATGGAGAAACAGAATATTTTCCAATTGGCAAATGTATCAGACAGGGATGTATTTTATCTCCTCATCACTTCAATCTCTATGCAGAAATTATAAGGAAAGTTGGATTAGATTTTGATGACGGTGGAGTGTAAATTGGTGGAAGGAACATTAACAATTTGAGATATGCAGATGACACCACATTACTGGCAGAAAACAGTGAAGACTTGAAATGTCTCCTGATGACGGTTGAAGCAGAAAGTGCCAAATGAGAATTACAGCTAACATCAAGAAGACAAAAGTAATGACTACCGGGGAATTACACAACTTTAAGGCTGATGACGAAGAAATTTAAATTGTTAAAGATGTTCTATCCCTTGGCTCCATCATCAACCAAAAAAGGAGACTGCAACCAAGAAATTAGAAGGAGATTGAGACTGGCAGGTACAGCCATGAAGGAGCATGGAAAGATTCTTAAGGATGTCTCACTTGCGACCAAGATCAAGACAGTGCATGCTACAGTATTCCCCATTACTATATATGGACATGGAAGTTGGACAGTGAAGAAAGCTGACAGGAAGAAAGTTGGTTTATTTGAAATGTGGTCTTGGAGGAGAGAATTCTGAAACCATGGACTGCTGAAAAGACAATAAGTAGGTTATAGATCAAGTCAAGTCTGAACTCTCCCAGGAAGCTAAAATGACCAAACTGAGGCTACCATACTTTGGTCACATTACGAGAAGACAAAATTCACTGGAAAAGACAATAATGCTTGAAAAAGTTGAAGGTAACAGGAAAAGAGGAAAACCCAACATGAGATGGGTGGACTCAGTCAAGGAAGCCAATGGCCCTCGGTTTGCAAGACCTGAGCAAGGCTAGCGGTAAAACATTTTAGAAGTCATTAATTGATAGGATCGTCAGAAGTCAGAAGCAACTTGACACACACACACACACACAGAGAGAGGGGGGGGGCAGCGAGATAGATAGGAGAGACCCAGACCAAGAACAAAGTGTTCTGGAAGATTAAAGTCACCAACCTCATTTTACAACAGAGAGTCAGCAGAGAATAATGTTCCTTTCTCTACAAGAAGAACTTAAAAAAAAAAAGCCCTCGGTTTGCAAGACCTGAGCAAGGCTAGCGGTAAAACATTTTAGAAGTCATTAATTGATAGGATCGTCAGAAGTCAGAAGCAACTTGACACACACACACACACACACACACACACAGAGAGGGGGGGGGGCAGCGAGATAGATAGGAGAGACCCAGACCAAGAACAAAGTGTTCTGGAAGATTAAAGTCACCAACCTCATTTTACAACAGAGAGTCAGCAGAGAATAATGTTCCTTTCTCTACAAGATAATGTTCCTTTCTCTACAAAAAACCCTCGTGCCTGTTAAAAATATGTCACTGTAAAATATTTCCAGCTTATATTTTAAAGAAATCCGAGCACTAGTTTCCAGCATTCATTCGCTATCTAGCAATTCCATTAAGCTGATAACACATAAAACTAAATCAACACATGACTTAGGTCAATATTGTGTAGTATAACAAAAAGCATTTAAAGGTTACCATAGATAGTACAATAAGAAGTCCTATCTGAGATTTGTGAGTAGAGGATATAGATGCCTTGCCAGTGCTTACTGAATCTGAATCTGTGAGAGAAAAGACCATTTCACTTGCAGACAGCCAGGATTCCAGCAAAAACAATCATGATTTTACCCTAGCACTTATATCATACCTGTACGTCAAAGTTCCTGATCTCATCCTTGAAGATCATGCGGTCTTTGGGAAGTCCCATAGAGACCAATTAATGAAGAAGTGTAAGGTGGGAAAGGGCTTTTCTGCTTCCGCAATTCACAAAAGTCATCACAGTGTGCCTCAGAAGGTCAGTCCGGACTCAATGAATTGAAATTAAATTTTAAAAGTTTCTGGCTAAACATTAGGAAGAACTTCCTGATAGTTAGAATCAGGCCTGTCGCTACAGTGGGGCATTTCGGGGCCCGCCCCGCCGACTTCCTACCAAGGCCCCCTGACTCTCTGGTAAGATGCAGTGGCCACCGTGAACTCCCCCACGCTGCCGTGGCTGCTGCTTCTCCTTGCCTCCCCCCCGTGCCTCACCTTTCTGCCCTGCAACACACCGATCAAGTTAATTAAATTACATTTAATTGAATTAGCCACTTTAAATGCACCCCCCCGACTTAGAAATTCCTGGCTATGGGCCTGGTTAGAATGGTTCCTCAGTGGAACAGGCTTCCTTGGGAGGTGGTGGGCTCTCCATCTTTGGAGGTTTTTAAGCAGAGGCTAGATGGCCGTCTGACAGCAATCCTGATTCTATGAGTTACTATGAATTTAGGCAGATCATAAGAGGGAGGAGGGCAGGAAGGGAAGAGCGAGTTCTCGGCTCTTGCAACCCTTTCTTAGATGCCCAGTGGAATGCCAATTGCCAGTTTGTGGTCAGGAAAGACTTTTCTCCAGGCCAAATTGGCCCAGGGATGTTGGAGATTTTTTGGCCTCCTCTGGGCATAGAGCAAGGGTCCTTGGGGGACAGGGGGAGTTGTTGTGAATGTCCAGCATTGTGCAGGGGTTGGACTAGATGGCCCTTAGGATCCCTTCCAGCTTTATGTTTCTGTGTTTCTATTTTGGTGAGGATTTGAGCAAGGGCAGTTAAGTAACTGAAGACAAACTACCAGGCCCCTAGTTCTGTTGTCTACCACTGACTTTGGAGG